CCGAAATATTTTTGCGTCAATATTCAGCGCCGTGATTCAAGAGATTAATACCCGGAAACAATTTTTTTCTTGTTTTGAACGCATTAACATGCATTTACGCTAATCTAGTATGATTCAGGGTTACTTTTTTTTAACCCGCCTATGGCCAGATTATCTAAAGATGTGTGTATTGTGTGTACAATCTATAGAAAGAGAAATGTACATCAGGTCCGATCATCCGATTTTCACGTTTCGGTTTTTTGGACTCGATTCATGAACGTATTTTGGTTTGGCTCCTGGAATGTGCGAAAAAAATGACTCCCGGGACTGTCTACAGGGAACACTCGCACATTCGCGGTGTATCAGGACAGCGCGACTGGTCGTCATTAGCGCAGTAACAGTTGCATAAACGGACGAAACCATTTCAAAGAAATGGGGATGTTTCGAAAATAAGCATTTACTCCAATATCAAAACAGCTACGGTAAAAATAAAAAGACGTGCATCATCCCGGACATAATGCAACACCACATGCGAAATTACACAGATATGCGACGTACGGCAGAATGCGTTTTGGCTGCGAACATCTTCCAAAAACTTGGCATCTCTTAACCATGGGCAAAAACATCTGGAACCACTTATAAAAACCACCCCGTATCTGCATGAACTTTTACCTCCCCCCCGCTATTCCAAACAACGCGTTTTTCTGGACCGTTCCAATTCGCCTCGTAATTGTAGGGGTGCGTCTGCGATATTACATTGACCGCGAAAGCAGCAACGGCAAAAATACACATTCGTGCATCAACACGGGCATGCCCGCAGACGGCGTATAAAATTGCGTGCCGATTACACGAAGAGAACCCAGTGTTTTGACTGCGAACATGAAAAATCAGCCGATTACAACACTCCGTCCGGAGGTCCTGACCTCCTTCACGGAGTAACAAGGTAAATGTATACATGTACATGGAAAGGAATGTTTCTTCTATAAATGCTTTCATACCTTTAGTTACAATAGTATAATTTTGTTATCTTATTAAACTAAAGGTTTCATTAAGACCCTGTTGTAACATTGGAAAGAACTATTCAAACAAGTAGTCAGATGTGTACCAAGGAGAATTTAAGAAAGTTAGCTCTGATTTGAAACTGAAGAGTTACCGAAGCTACGAAGCCCTTCCTATTTCGGCGGGTATGGTGCCACCTCTTCACAAACAGAGCCCAGAACTGCTGCTTGATCAGGTCATGACCTTTGATCTGATATGACCCCTGACCTCCTGTCTCGCCATTCATTGGGTCGTCATCAACATTGGGGCCTAAAAAGGAACAGAGTCACTACAGTTATGACATGGAGAAAACGTAACATTAGTCCGCAGAAGGTTTTAAACATGGTGCAGTAACTGTAATAAAAATGCACCGCACTGAAATAAATTAAATAAAAACATACATGTAATGTGTTAGATTCCTTTATATACATGTCTAATTTCAAATGGACAGTTTAGTAAGATACAATGTAGTTTCTTATTTCCTTATTTCAATTATCATTTCTGCTTGTGTGAAATTGTTCTTGTCTCCCTATTACCCAAGCACAATAGCCAAAGTGACCATTCATTTAATATATTATATAATAACTGTTATATGTTTTTTTTTAATCCACAATATTACAAGCAGATTGGAGGCAGAAAGTCTTGGACCAGGAAACCACAAACTGATGATGATGACAAGCTTTTAGACATTACCTGGCTTCTTTATGTACGTGACCTTTCCTGAGCAGCAAGAAGCGACAGAAGGAGGGACAGATGAGAAGAAAAAGGATTTGAAACACGAAGCCTGGTAAACAGACAGGTTCACAGTTGTCATAACGATTGTAGAGTAATCAAAGTCATAGATAAACTAGAAAGGCAGATATTTGCTCTGGAGTAAATACAGCATAATCTAGTCCATCCTCTCCTTCCAAAATAAACTGTTCCATATCAAGCTGCCAGGGGGCCCAAAACCTAATCATTTCGAGGTCTCATCAAGACCTACATGTACGTGTACCGACCTACCAAATATCAATCCATTTAAGCCTTCTCAAGCTATTGTGTTTACAGACACACACACGAACGCCTCTGAAAACATGTTATTAACCTTCTTGGTGAAGGTAATAATAATAATATAATGTATCCATAAAAAGGAAAAAAAACATGGGGTTATTTAGCCACTCTACATGTACATGTACCTTCATGCCAAATTTCATGTCATTTGGCCAAAAAATGAAGAAATTGAATACATCTAACGCAATGGCAGGAGAAGGAAAAGAAACATGAGGGAAAACAATAATTAAAAATATTTCATCCATACCTACATGTATGGTATGGACTGAAAGTTAACAGTATACTTCATCCAAATGACAGAGTATGGAATGATATGGAATCAGGACGACTCGGACCATAATTTACCAACTCGGCCCATCGCAAATCTGGTCAACTCGGCCCACCACCCTGGTCAACTCGGCCCTCCACCAAATCAACCATGTTGACTGTGAGATTTTTTGAAGTCCCAAACTGCCGGTGCTTGAGCAATCAACATGATTTTTTGTTAGACAACTTCGAACTGTAGACTTTGAGGTTTGTTTTTTTTCAGTCAAAACCCGCTTGGGCAGTAACCGAGACTGCAATTTTTTGTTAGACAACAAAACTATTAAATTGTTTGCCTATAAAACAGGATCCAAAAAAAGTCATACAGTGTACCGGAGAGCGACGACTTTGCCCATCGATGTGCCTACCACACGATTCTATACGGATTCATTTGCTCACACTATTTTAGTACATTCTTGCTTTGTTTCATGGCGATAATTATGTGACTGTTGTACCGATTAGTAGAAATAGTATGTAATTGTAAGCCTTCAATTAACGTCGTTTGTTGACTAAGGAGTAGCGCTAGTTCTATTCGTTATACCCGTGGAAAAAGAAAGAAATTAAGTTAAATGAACTTCTTATTGAAGATCGATGATATTTGGTCGAAAATTGACATCGTGTGTGCGTGTGTTTCTGCCTAAATTACTGTCTCCGGTATTGGGCCGAGTTGACCCGGGAGTTGGGCCGAGTTGACCAGGTAGATGGGCCGAGTTGTCTGGGCCGACTTGGTAATGGTTCGAGTCGTCCGACATTCGATATACATGTATAAAAACAATATTTCAATCCATTCTGTAATTAATTATATTGCCAAGACCGTACCAAAAAGTGTACAAATAGCCTTCTTAAAATAACGCCCATAACACTAATTACAACACCGTGTCTCAAATTACATTTTGTACTAGTGATCAAAGCACAAAAAATACAAATCATTTTACATCTCAGGTTTCAATACTAAACATTATCTATGAGTAGTACATCTGAGACTTGTACATTTGTAAGTGTGACTAACTGTTGACAATGGTATCAGTTGAAAATAATTAAGCACTAGAAAGGCCAGTATTTGCTTTGGAGCAAATACAGCGATGGGTTCACCACATTTTACGACATGGCAGGGAAAGAATGAGAAACACAAGGGAAAACAATGATTTACATTGATATAACTATAATATGAAGTAAAATACAACTAAAACAACAGTTGGATAGCTATTCCCTACTTTATTGGTTAGGATTTTTAATTGCATAATGCAAACTGTTGATTTTCAAAATAAAAAAAAACGTCCATGCCCCGCATTCCAATGCTGGAGCAGGAAAGCTTGAAATACCTACCAAAACACTTGAATACAGACATACTGTCAGTATGGAAATGCTCTGTGCACGTGTTAATCAAGTTAAATCCCAACAGCCAATCAGCAAGAAGAATAGAGGAAAGCTGCATGCCTATTGGTTGATGCCCTGCATTCCATTGTGATGACTCATGCCCAAACGTGGTAAACAAGGCACACTAACACAGTAATACATTTGCTATAACACAGCCAAAAAACTCAAATAAAACCATTCTAAAAGCCTGTATCACAATAATTTAAAAAACGCCTAGGGGTATTTGCCCACTGTACCTCCTTACCAAATTTCAGGACCTTGGGCCCTAAAATGAAGAAGCTGAATCCATTTAAAAAATGGCAGGAGAAGAAGGAGGAGAAGGAGAAGAAACATCAGAAAAAGCAATATGGGTTCACCACCACTTCGTGGTGTGGTGAACCTATAATTAGAGGGGTGCGTATGTTGCTGGCCATGTACCTGTTTCTTCATCCACTAGTACTAGGTTGTCTGGCACGTCGATAGAGATGGCATTCATCTGTTTCTTTCCAGTTCTCTCTTCTTTAGACATGGTCCTGCGCAGTCCTGGTAGGATGGGTTTGGGCAGCTGGCCACCTTCTGTGATTTCTTCTATTGCCTGTTCTACATCCATGTCCACTCCTGTCTCCTCTGCCACTTTCAGGAATATCTATAGACAAGAGTTGGAAGTACATTTGACAGTTTTTACAGTATTAGGCAGAATGCAGAATCTAACAACAGAGTGTATGGCAAACCTGAGTGACTTCCTCTAGGGGGCTGAACTTAAAATTTGGTGCTTGGGCGTTATTATATTATATAGCATCCAAAAGATGGTTAAAGCTTTATAATATTATATGCTTGTCTTTAATCAGAAATTTTATGTTTTTTGGCTGTCTTTTCCTTCTTTCCTAAAATTTTGCTGCTCATCATGGACAGTTGAAGATTTGAAAGATTTCGTTATACTGGGCTGAAAAAGATTTGCCCCTCAATGCAGGAAATACTAGCGCTGAAGAGGGTCAAGATTTCCAAATTTTCCTGAACCCCCTTGGGCTGCCCCGCTTCTCACTTCACATTTCACGCCTTCAACACTGGACATGATGTTACATCAAACAAAATTGAGATGTTAAAAAGAATTTCAGGCTGGCTACATGTAGAACACTGATCGTGGCTAACCTCTTCAAGAGTGGTGTCAGAGATACCATAGCTGGAGATGTGCAGCTTGTCCAGGTTTGTGTCCAGGTCATAGAACAGTTTCTCTAGTGCTGCACCATTGCTGCGACCATTGGGCAGCAGAAATATAACCTCCTTCCCAATGTTCTCCAGCAGCTTGGCATCAGGAATGTGGGACCTTACCAGTGAGTTCACCACACCCTCATTGAAGATGCCTGAAAAAAAACATAAATCATAAATTGTAGGTGAGGTGTGAGTAGGTGACCATACATGACATTGTAAATAATCAATAGTTACAAAACACTTGTCAAGAATGTGTCACTCTATGGTGGGAGGTGCTGGTTGTAATGTTATATACTTAGTAATATAAGAAGGTGCGAAGGCTACTTGAGGTCGATCGAACAGTGCCCGCATGTCACAGGGGACAAAGTGTTATGATAATCATGCTTAATTCCCACTTCAATTTCAGCAGTAGACTGAGGAATCCACTGAACTACAACTACATTGTACAGCTGTATGTACGAAAGAAAAGAAGACCATTTAACCTGTTATGTCTCCAGGAGGCATGTCCAGGACACTCGACATGGCTGAGGCACTGTCATCAGTGGTGTCTGAAGATACCTCCGAACCAAGTCCTTCATCACCAAGGGACTATAACACAAGCAGGGATGGCTGTTAACTTTGAGGCAAAATCAGTCTACATGGTAGTGGTCATACTGTATGATGTGACAATAAACGAAGGTGCCTACATATTAGAAATTCCACCAAAGAATGTACAACTGTACACTATATAACCTCATCCTTAGAGCTGTGTACCTAAACAAATTTTAGGTGCAGATACAGAGGTTTATGTTGAGGTCCAGGCCTCAACAATCAACAAATTAACAACAAAAAATCACAAACTTCTTCTGAACTTATTCAATAACAAAAGAAATATAAACTTGACAGTTAGCATGTCTACATTTGTAGATCACAAGATCCTGTTATCAAGTTCCACTTCAGTACCATATCAAGCTGCCAGGGGGCCAAAAATCTAATCATTTCGAGATCTTTTAAGACCTACCCAGTAATAGTGTTATTGAGTTATGCTGTTGACACAGACACACACAAACATAGCCATGAATACATAACTTTCTCGGCAAAGCTAAATACAGTAAAAATTCCACCAACGACTGTGCAAAACTCATGTACAATGTACTTTAAGTTAATTTTGTAGGTTAGTTTCATGGAAATTGCCATGCATTGCCTCTGATTCAATGTTTTTCTTATGTAAGTGACAGTTAGTGTTACAGCAGTACACTAACTGTCACTATTTACAGAAAAGTAAATAAGATTATATTCTGAGGATGCAGAGCATTCCAACCAATCCCCACCTGCCCATTGTGTTCATTCCTAGAGGAGGCCACACTGCTGAAGGAACTCCCACAGCGGGAGGAGGTAAAGCTTCCACTCGACTTCTTGACGAGTGTCAGGTAATAGCCGTTGCCATAGCGACTCTTGAGAAAGAGGGAGGAGCCGCAGCAGCGCAGCTTGCCCTGAGAGATGATGCCGATACGGTCACCCAACAGGTCAGCCTCGTCCATGTGATGAGTGGTGAGGATGATGGTACGGCCTAAAGAAACACAAGATGGCATGATTCTAAAGTTTTCACTATTGTACATAGTAATTTAGTAGGAAACTGTTTAAAAAGGTGGCAAGGTCACATCTGGGCTGGAGCTGCCCAGATAGAGCTCCCTAAACTGCCTCAACTGAGTTCAAAACTGCTTACAACATCTTGTTGGGAGTGTCTTGTTTGCCACCCTACAACCACTCTCATCATCACATAGGCGTAATGTTGCAAGCCTGGCATTATTTTATCGCTATTTCCACAGTAAATGCTCCGTGGAACTTCACTCGCTAGTGCTTCCACTTTGAGTCTCAGCACAGGCACATTTTGCCACTTCCATTGAAGCAAATCACCCTTTCTTCCTCCATTCACCACCTCTTAGGAGAAAGTTCCATGCTGAAAGCTTCTTTCGTAAAACAACATCACTATGAAACATGCTACCACGTGATTGTTTCCCATATGGGTATAACCTTAAACTTTTCAAGTCTAAGGTCAACAAACATCTGTCCTCACTGGCTGTACAGTAACCCAAAACATTTGAGTGACTTCCATGAGCCTTTTGTGGTGAATCACGAAGTAAATAATTAAAAAAATATGAAGTAAAAGTAAATAGCATGAAGTAAATAAAAAAAAAAATAATAATGTGCATCATCCGGGGCATACTAGCATACTGCACAACACAAATGTGGTGTCTGCCCTAGACCATTCCAGCAGACAACGTAGGAAACTATGTCCCCATGCAGCAAAGGAATTGCGAGTTATGGCTGCAACAACTGTTCATCAATTTTAATACTCCGACAGAGGTCTTGACCTCCTTCACGGAGTAATGAGTACTACCTACAAATGTACATGTAGCTCTGGTATGAATGAGATCACAGTGGATCATAAAGGCTATGTCTTACCTTTCTTGTACTTAATAAGTAGGTCCCAGATGCCCCTACGTGAGTATGGGTCGACTCCAGCTGTTGGCTCATCCAGAATAACTGTATGGGAGTTGGCCACAAACGCTATGGCAACTGACAACTTTCTCTTCATGCCTCCTGAAAACAGAAATTAACACACATCTTCACGTCACGGGATTATGAAAACCCAATTACGAGCAATTATTCTAGTGTAGGATTATGATAATAGTATAATCAATGTACAATGTTTAATCACCTAAGAGCACTATTTGTCATAGCATGTCATGTACAACACTGTCATCAATGATGTATCATCTTAACGCTGACTACAAAACTAAGACTTAAGCTGTAACACTATTTCTAATAAATGTTAGAATCATACTCTATTCATACATGTAGACTACTCTTGCCAGTCCTCCCCAATCAAGATATCAGCTGTGTCATGTGCTTCATCCATTATAATGATAGATACAAAGTAAGAACACTAACACTACAGTTTCAGCTTGTTTGTACTCATTAGCTTCACCAACAAGGTTTAACTTTAATCTATGTTTTCATTGCTGTGTGCCTGTCAAACTGTATGTCTGAGTTGGGTGCACAGCTCCAAATTTGGGATCACTAAGGTGCACATGTGCATGTATTTCAAGCTTTGCCAGGTCATGTGCTCACAGTAATTAAATAATCACTCCTAACAAGAATGTTGACGGAAGAGCAACCAAAAGTTTGAGGTGAACTGTCTGTGTTGATCCTAAGTATCAAACTTCAGTACCTGACAGATTTTTGGATATCTCATGTCTCTTGTTGGGCAGCCCGACATCCTTCACCATTCGGTCCATCTCCTCCTGTACATCCTCTTCAGACATGCCTTTAGTCGGCCGTAGAACCAGAGGTGCTCAGACACTGTTAAACTAAGTTTAGAATAAACGAACATATGCATATCATTAACTAACTTCAGCAAAGGAAAACATAGTACACAACCATGTCAGTCATGCCCTTCATTGTGCTTTGACACAGTTTAACTGAACAACACACCAGGTCCTGTCATTAACAACAACTTACAATCATCTTATTAAACAGAAAAACAATAAACATCCACAACAGTTTTACATGTAGGTAATACATGCCTTTTAGTTAGCCATAGAACCACTAAACCCCAGAAAATATTTCTAAACTGAAATGTTGCTAGAACTGAAGAACAAGCAAACACATACAACAACAAAGTTAACATACAACCACATCTAAACTCTATAGGAAAACAACAAACATACATGCAGTATCTCTTACATGTAATAGAAAAACAACAGACATACAACCGTGTCTGGAACCTTTTAATTATATCAACTCAGGGCTACGGAAAAACCGGGTGCATGTACACCTTAGTGCACCCAAATTTGGAGCTGTACACCCTAATTTTTTCTTTGGGTGCATTTTCATAGGTTTATGTAAACTATGTAAACATGTTAAATGTATAGTAGTATACAGCATATTCTTAATATCCAAAAGGGTAAAAAAATAATAAAAATCATTGTAAATAGTACATTTATTTAGAAATGAAACATAATTAGTTATTGCTGAAATTCTACTTGATATATGGATCACCCAAAAAATTTTTTGTGCATCTAATTTTTTAGGTTGGGTGCACCAGTGCACCTGTGACCCAAAATGAATTTCAAGCCATGTAACTAAAAGAACAAATCTTAGAATACAACCATGTCAAAACACTGAAATGAACTCACTTGTCAAAGAGTACGTTGTGTTGTGGACACATCCCCAGACTCTTCCTGATGTTGTCGATTTCAAACCTGATGTCTTCCCGTCAACGTACGCTGTACCCGAGCTGGGCGGGAACAGACCTGTCAGGATCGACCTGCAAAATTAAGAAATTCAAATTTAAGGAATTATATTTCCTCTGGAAAGAACAACGTCACTTAAAGTATATCATTTGTCAAAGATTCTTCGCTGAAGGACATTGTATAATCATTGCACATACTGTAGAACAAATGAATATCAAAAGACTATCTTGGAAATTTGTCCAATTTCTAATTGTAGTTTTTACAATGTATCAATTATTTAGTAAAATTGTGTTGGTGTATCTTCACAAGAAGGTTTGTATAAGAACATTTTGTTTAAATATATGCACACCACTGTACACAACTGAACCTGCTTCTTCTTCTAACTTCTAAACAGGATTTTGGGCTTCATATAGTGACTAAGTATACTAGTCAGATGCAACTTTTGCTTTTAATCCTGTTTTTATATTGAACTCTTCATAAAGGTCCACTTTTTATAGCCTCCGTAGCAGGCTTACAGAACTGGAGGTTTGGTGGTCTTCGGCTGTTTTCTGATTAGCCCAGTTCTAAAAAATGGGGGTAAATCAATCAGGCCGGCTATATTGTCTACAATGCATGTACATGTATACATTGTATGCAATCAGAACATAGCACGTAAAAGCTCCCAAGACCCTGAAGACCCCCCCCCCAAACCCCCAGTTTTTGGCATGCTATGGAGGCTACACTTTTTAGATTTGTACAAAAACCAAGAGACTCAAGCGATGTAACCTAATTTTCACTACAGACTATACACTGAACTGAAGTGATATTACACATAATTCTGTCTGAGAATATCATATATGGCTCACATTGTGGTGGTCTTGCCAGCCCCGTTGTGTCCTAGGAAGGAAGTGATTTGTCCTTCGTAGAAGTTGAGACTGAGTCCGTCCACAGCCAGCTTGTTCCCCTCCTTGTACACCTTGGTCAGGTTCTGAATTCCAACTCCCAGTGGCAGGTGGGTAGGCTCCTTCTCAAAGTCTTCAGACTCTGCAATTT